GGTCCTGCCAGGAATGGCTGGCCCTTGTTCTCAGGCATCAGAGCAGATCTGCAGGCCAGCGGTGCCCCAGGCCAGGGCGATTGGCCCATGGCTTCAGGCAGGCATCTCCTACCAGGAGGGGCCTCCGGTGGCACAAAGATTGGAACTTGCCCACACTGGATAGGGCTGGGGTGGAGGGGTGTCTGCGGGTTGGGGGCTTCGTTCACCCCGACCACCCTGAAGCTTGGAGCCTCCCACTGAGGCTCCNGTAAGAACAATGCACCGAGTTTGCTTAAGATAAAGACTGACCTATTACCTTGAAGCTATGAGTCTTGGACATGACCACCACCATGACCTGCCCAGCTAGGAATTTACGGATCAGGTCACCCTGTGAGGTTACTTTCAGTCACTGAGCTTGTCAGGCCCATTCTGTTATGAGTGAATTGTGGGGATCTCTCCTTTCCCCGCTCCAGTGACTCAACCACACCTGGCCTCCTACCCTTGCCTGAAGTTACAGAACAGGCTCTGAGCTGGCAGGTGCCTGAAGGCTCACCTGCCCACATACCAGATCATGGGCCCCTCCCACTGGGGCTCTGTACTGGGCCCCCAGGAGAGGAGGCTGGGTGAGCTCCTGCAGTCAGCACCCAGTGATAGGAGAGGCCCAGTGTCCACTGAAGTGCAGCCCTGGCTGGAAGGGTGCAGCTGGAGTGCCACCTCCACCCCAACTTGAGTCATCTCATCACAGGATTCCTCACCCCAACATGAGTCATCTCGTCACCGGACTCCTTTGTGCCTCTCTGTCTACCCATGTCAACCCTTCATTGTGTCCCTGGGTCACATGCTGGTGACATCCAGAGCGGGTGGCACAAGGGGGGCGGCTGGGCTGGGTCTTGCAGATGAGGGGTGCAAGGTGGTCAAATGTACTTGGGAGTGAGGCCAGGCAGAGCCTGATCCTGGACTCTAGGACATGCTGGCAGCCTCCTGTCCCTGTCTCCCAGCCACTCCTGGTGCCTGCTGGGTACAGGCTTTCTCCCCTCTGCTCTCAGTAGCTCTTAGGTCCATCTTCCCACTTGTCCCCTGGTCATCACCCCCCACCCCATATCCTGCCATGCATGGACCAGGGCCACCGAAGGGCTCCTCCAGGGCCCATGCCGACCTCCCCGCGGGGTGACTCCTGGTCTCTTCTGCAAGGCCCAGGCCCACCCCTGCCCCAAGCCATGAACCCCAGTTTACCCTGCAGGGCCACACCTGTCCCAGTGCCAGAGCAGACCCCTACCTCCCCTGCAGGGCCATGCCTACCCGTGTCGGGCCTGCCTCCAATGCCCCTGCAAGGCCCTATGGGGGAGGAGAAGATTTTTCCTTCTTCCCTTCTAGGTTCTTCGGCTGGCCTAATAATTGACATAGAAAAACAACTTGAATTTCAAGCTTAGGGAGCTTCATACAAATGAGAGCCAGAGGCTGAGGTCCATGGTCATCCAGCGCTAAGGACCCGGATAGGGGTCTGCAGCTTCCTCGGGGAGGAGGGTAACTCACAGGAAGATGGGGAGAGTTCTTCCGTGATCAGATGTCTGCCCTGCCATGCAGGGGACTTTTTCAGATAGCGAGTGATCTCTGATCATTTGCTCTCTTTCTGGACCAGGCCCCCATCTGCATGCTTTTAGGCAGTTAAGGGAGAGGTGAAAGGTTTTCCAGAATTTCTGG